GTGGGCTGGAGTCTCGCAGGCAGGATTCTTCAGTAATGCAGGATTCTCTGACTCCTGCCTGGGGGACCAGGCTGGCCCTTGGCATGGCATACCAGCTGTAGTAGGCTACAGCAAATTCCCCTTAAGAAAACAGATTTACTGGGGACAAACAATACTGAGGGCTTATGAGTGACTAATCTCCCAGCTCACATATGGGGTCAGGCTGAAACTGCACAAGGGCTTTGAGGAAACAGAGAAGAACAGGCTCATATTTAAGGCCAAGAAGCAGGAGATCCAGGCTCAGCTCCCCAGCGGACTCTGCAAGGCCTGCAGGAACCTGCCCCCTTTCACAAGAACCACCCTCCTTCCCTCATTACTCAATTTCAGTTGCTTCTCTTCCTTTTTTCCGTGTCTTGTTGCAGCGGGCCGCTGCAGAAGACACTGCAACGAGGGGATGGGGGTTTCAAGCAGAACCGAGGCAGCCCGTGACCACGGGTTGTAAAAACCTGTACGTTGGCCGGCGTGACCCCTGTGTAACGTGAGCACATACCGTGACTGCCTCTAACAATACGACCTGTATGCACTGTTTGCAAGAGCTCGTTCCTATGGAGATGTGTGAGCGTGTAAAGCTCTCGTGGAGCTTTTGTGTACCACGAGCACATTCAGCATTGTACAGAGAAGTACCGCGTGTACTTATCAACGGGAAGGAGCTTGTCCGACGCTGCCACAGCTGGGGTTCCCAGCATCAGGGGCATACAAGATTGCTGGCACTTCTATATTTTCCATCCTTCACATCATATGTGAGCTAACCAGCCTCAGGTGGCCGTGCCTTTCTTACCGAGACCCCAAAAGAACCAGTACGTCATCAGTGCAGAACACTTTGTGGCACTAGGTAATATTGAGATGGTAACAACTGATAACTTGTATCAGAGAGGGAAAATGGGTCAGGGGCAAGACCCTGAACCAGCTAGACTGAGGGGAAAAAAAAGAAAAAAAAATACAGAAAAGATACAAGTTTTTCAAGAGATGGTGTTCTGTAAACTGTCAAAGCCAAGTGTGAGCTTCACCCCTCTGCAGCGGCTTCCCCTGAAACAAAGCCCTACAGAGACCAGGGATTCCCCTTCCCAACATGCAGAACCACCCTCTCCCAGCAGCAGCTTATGATCTTCCTCCACCACAGTCAATGCCCTAAACGGGGGCCAGCCCAGCTCAGTACTGTGAGAAACCCTAAGCCTGAAACAGCCCTAGGCAAGAGCCAGCATGAAAAAAATCAATTTATTAATTGCTTGCTGACACACATTAGACACTCCAAATGATCTAAGCAGCGCATGCTGTAAATTAAGTTGGCCTAGGCACACTAGCCAGATCTAATGACGGTGCGATCAGTGGTGCTCCATTGGTAACCACCCTTCTGACTCATCTTCACACAGCGCTGGTACATCTTCCAACCTCTTGCAACCATGAAAGACATTCACAGGGCAGAGAGGACACTGATTTATGAACACGCAGGTGGCACCAGCCCGCCAGCTCTCTTGTTAGTAAGGCGGGGAATGAAATGGTGACAAGGTGAGGAAGAACAGCGTCCCAGTTTTTACATCTTCAATCTTCTAAAACAAAATAAACCCCAGCGAATGAGCGGGGCCAACAGAGAAGGAACATGTTAGGACAAGGGACACTCAATAGGGGAAAAACTGGGGAAGGCACCAAGCATGGAAGTAACGGAAGCTCTCACTCGCTTCATTTTTGCAGCCGAGCTGGCCCGGAGCGTGCTCACCTGTACCTGGGATGGCTTTAGTGTATTTCATACACCCCTTTATTTGGTTATCTTTCACCTGGGAGTCCTTGTGGCTAGCAACCACAGTTTAAGATCCCTCCCCACAACGGCTGTCATTAACCGATACTTTGCTCCACCTTATCCTGGCCCTTCAGACACCTGCAAACCAGCATGACCATTGCTCGCCCTTCCCACGGCCAGGAATGGTATTTTCAGCTTACTCACTTTCCACAGTTGTACAGGTCACAGCAGAAGCAAGTGTTGGTTTTTATTTTCGGCGTGCAGGGTGCACGGCGCTGTGGGTGACAGATTGCCTGTGCGAATACAGAAAAAATACATAAAGCACATAAGGACATAATCACAAAACACGGTTTCTGCTGCTATTTGGCCTGCTCTACACGTAGCTTTGCACTGATCTCCAGATTAGCCCCAGGAAGATTTTTTCTTTCCTTATCCTGCAGCGCAGCTCCTACAAAGTACACAGTTATACTGGAATAAAGACGTACTAGACCAGAACAGGGCGGCGTTTCCTTCCACCATGGGGAAGTCATAGATAAGCACATGCCTGCATAGGAAGGGGGTTGTGCAACTCTTACAAGCAGCCATGATCTTGCTGAGCAAACACTCCTCACCATGCGGCAACTCAGAGCAAAGAGTTGACAACAGGATGATATAAACTGAGAGCAAGATTCCCGTATTGGCGAATAACTGACTAAAGCGGTTAATTATCTGCCTGTGGGTAGTCACACCCAAGCTCACATGGGTGGTCTTTGGGCTGAAAAGAGAATGGACCCCACCTATGCACTGGGTAGTACTTACTTTGCACCTCAAGTAGGCATTTTAATTTGGAATATAGTGGTTATTCAAAACCACTTGGGAACTTGTGAAGAAATCTGAGAGACTCAGTGCACAGCAAAGGCAGCCAAAGATGTCCACGCTCACTATCAGTATGTGGCAGGAACATCCGTCCCCAACAGGCTTCTCTTTGGAGAAGACAAGAGACAGCAGAAGTGCAGAAGCTGGTATATGTTGCTCCTATCCACAGAAATTACTGCTCTCTGAACTCTTAACCCACCACCCTGCTCCTGTAATGAATGCGCAGCTGAAGATCTAGAGAAACTGGTGTATTTTCCAGTCCCCCATCCCCTCCTCTCCACCTGCTCCTTCACTAACGTGGCAGTACCAAATGTGGAGGCATTCATTCCCTGAGTTCTCCTGGCACCCCACTCCCATCCCTTCCTCGCTTCGCAGACCTCTGGGACACCGGAGCAGCAGCCTGGCAGCAGGTTCCTCCACCTGCACCACGAAGCCAGCCCCTTCACGGAGACAGCACAGCTGAACCTGCTCTCACCTCCGGTGGAGTCGTACTCTTGGAGTAGTACTGACATCGCCCCGCGTACAGCGGCCTCAGATCCTGCGGATGAAAAAGCAGCAGGCTTAGCATTGCAGTGGAATCAAAATCAGCTGGCTGGTCCGGGGAAAAGGGCCAG